GCCCCCCGGGCGGCAGGCCTGACTGGGCCCCGCGCGCCCCGCAGCGCAGAGAACCGGGCCCGGATCAAAGTGGTGGGGGGGCGAGGAACAAGGCGAGGCGAGCGGCGTCCTGAATGCGAGTCGTGTACGTCTTATTATCAAGTTAATTAAAGCTAGCATCTGACAATGTCACTCGGCTGTAGAAAAAGGGATTTAAATGCAGCGTCTCCCAGGACCGCATGTCAAGGGCTGCTTCCCATTGAGTTGTTTGGAGGAACCGGGCCCGCGCTGGAGGGGCGGGGGCGGGCGGGGGAGGGGCGGGGGGAGCCCTTTAAAGCGACCGCTCCAGGAACAGCATTGACAGGGAAGCAATTATGAAATTTTGATGTTCAAAATGGGGGGGGGGGCGTGAGAGCAGAAGCCGAGCGACTCCCCGCAGCGCTGCCGCCGCCGAGGGCCTCTGAAGAGCTCTCCAGCCGGGCGGGGGTCGCCCCGGCCGCCCCCACCGTCATTAAAGGCCCCTCTCAAACACTCGAAGAGATTTTCGGAGCGCGAGCCGGGCCGGGCAACATTAAAAACACAGGGCGATTGAAATGGGCGCATTGAGATGCGCGGAGCCGGCTGCGGCGCGGACTCGCTCTTGAGGTCAAGTGACGGACGGATTGTATGCTTCTTCATAATAATATTAATTAAACAATTTGCATGCTAATAAGGTAACAATTATCAGGGCCTCTGTTGAAAGATTCAGGTTATTACAACACGCCAATCTGAAGGCCAGGGGTCAGAGAGTGAGAGGCGAGCGAAATTTCAACTCAAATTAACATTCTGTCAGCTCCAGAAAATGGGATAAATAAAGTCGAATTAATTCATTATAATAAAGAGAGATGGGCGAGGGAGCCCGGCCGGCGCCCGCCCCTCCCCTGCCCTCCCCTCGGGCCGAATTGATTACAGCTCTGTATTCAGAAACACGCGCCGCACACATTCCTCCTCGCGAACCCGGCAGAGAACGAGGCGCTTACGGCTACCGGCAAAATCGAGTCGGATGGACAGAGTTTACATTTAGTATTTATAGAGAAAGAAATTAAATTATGGCGAAAAGTAGTGCTCTTGGCCCCTGACCTCGGAATTAATACTTGCAGCGTTTTCCTAGTGCGCGCCGGCGGAGGGGGGGGGGGGGGAAGGGGTGGGGAGTAAGGTCCCAAATTCCAAGCCTCCTCTCGGTCTCTGCGAGATGTCGGCCTGCCCCCAGCCCCTGCACCTCTCCCTCCTCCCGAACAATGAGAGAGGGGAAGGCAATTAAAGCGTAGTCGGTGCGGCCAGGGCACGTTCAATAAGGACGGATACCCGGGTTGCGTGTCCAGCGCCCCAGCCGCAAGGCAGGTCCGCTCCACTCTGGCGGGCGGAGCGTTGTGTGCACCCTCCGCTGGGAAGGGCACACGGACGGGGCTGTCCTACCCTTGCCTTCGCTCCGGGTTTGAGGCTTGGAAGGCTGGTTGAAGCCACTTAACACCAAAGGCCAACTTGTCTGTCATCTTGTCCTGGAGTGAGAGGCTGCCGGAGGTCCGGCCACCAGGTCTGGCTGGATACCCAGCACTGGCCGGGTCTGAGGCCCAGGAGCTCCTTCTTCCCGGATTCCAGCTCCGGCCACCGGGACCGCAGGGACCACAGGGATGAGGTCCATGGGCCTGGGGCCACAGCAAAAGGCACCCTCTTCGTGGACAAACTTTTTACAAAAGATTTTATAATTTTACATATATACATAATATATATGAATATATATGGATATAGTGATTGCTTTCCCTCCTGCCCACAGTCCTAATTTGCTGCTTATTTAAGAATATGTCCTTTAATGATTTAGCTTTGAGTCTATCAATATTTTATAGTGGAAAAGGGAGTGACAGACACTTCTCTGAGAACATAATTTAATTATAATTAATGGGTTGAGTACCTGGGCCCTATTCTTCAGAGGCCGTGTCAAAGGGAGATGTATTTATTTTTTTATTCCTGTGTAGGGGGCCTGATTGGTTGCCACCCCAAAGTTACTTTTCCCTTCCTCCCACCCCTCCTCCCCAGCCTTGTGCCTTGCTTTTACGGAGTAGGGGATGAGTGTGGGGGGGGGTCAGGGTGTCTCCACAGCCGCCCCCCCACCTCTGTTTCTATAGCCTGGCGGCGGCCAGTCAAAAAGCTCATTAATTATGCCTTTTTATTGACAGGGCGCTACATTCTGTAGAAGTCATTCTCTTTTGGAGTCACCTCCTCCCCCTGCTCCCTCCACTCCTTCCTCTTCCTCCTCCCTTTCCTTCCTCCTCTCCCCCGCCGCCTGCAGCCGGAGAGGAGATGAGAAGCCCTTGTAGTTTTAAATTCAATGTGACAGTTTCGGAAAGAGCGGATGATGAATCTCCTATTATTGGATCAGTCTATTTGCCGCTCAATGTCTCTCTGTAATTGGAGCAACATCACTTTAAAGGTTCAGAGAGTACAGCATTTCTGGTGAAAAATCCCCACAACACGCCGGTGAATGTTTTAAAGGGAAATCTATTAGTGATTTGCAGAGGGGCGGGGAGCCGGGGGAGGCGCGGGCTCCGGCCAGCGGGGATTGGAGTGGGGGGCTCGCCGGGGACCCCTGCCTGGACCGCTCCCCGAGCCCGCGCCTGCCCAGCGCCGGGCCGCGCCCCTCCCTCTCTGCTACCCCCCCCTTGTTGTGACAGTTCCTGATACTGTTTATTGAGGTGCATGTCAGGTATAATTAGCAATCGATATGGAAAACGTTTCCTTGCACCCAGCACGCCTCTGACGTCAGAGCCGATTAGCGCTTCTTATTGGTCCCAAATTCCCCGGGCCGCGGCTAATTATCGGGAGCTTGATGTTGATAAAGTAAAGCGCCGGAGTGCGGGCGAAGCATGTGTAGGGCTCCGGGTCCCTGTCTCCGCCGCCGCCGCCGTCTGCGCCTCCCGCCGCTG